GGCACTTCAGTCAAGCTACAGTGAGGCAGGGCGGTAGTTCGGGTACGACCGCTTCGAAGAAAACTTCGGCCCATATAAACTATCTCGCACAAAACGCAATAGAATCTGAACACGTCAAGCAGCTTCGCAAATCGCCTTCTTGTGTCAACCACAATTGGGTTAGGCACGCCTTTTCTACTCTTGACGATGCAGCCTTCAGCAAGAGCACCGGGCCAATGCTTTCCAATCGTTACCGTCGCGCACGGAAACGGCTCACCACTGTCTCCAACACCAGGAGCCGCCAGAGGTGTCGTTCTGTTCTCGGAAACGTATCCTTTCATCGCGGAGGAGTGAAGCAGCACGGTGTCGTAAGTAAACAGCGAAGTTGCGGCACGAAGCCTTCTCGGGGAAGCTGCCGTGGGCTTCGGAAACCCCTCGCGATGGTACGCTGAATGCTGCGCACGCAACCGTTACGACATACACTCACTGTCGGATGAGCTTCTAAAACCTTACGTCATCCGCGAACACGACGATTTCATAAAAATGCAGATTCACAGACAACAAGCTGATCAAAGGTGTGTTTTGCCGACGACGCGAGACGACAGGACGATGACGGGGCATTGACGGCATGCCCACATTGCCATGGAAACCTTTGCGCAAAAACACGTGACTTCGCCACACTTTTTTCTGCCGCTTAGATAGCGAGGGCCTCTCCTCGGTTTTCCTTCCTGAGCACATCGAGGTACTCTACTGTGGTTGCTCTCGCTCCCACTTGAACGCGCTACCAGCAGCCGCCGCACCGCGCAAGCCACGCGCTACCGTGTTCCCTTTCATAAAAATTGACATTGTGCCTAATTCTCAGCGAACTGGTGTCGTTGCATTTCGCACCAATCATAATGAGGCCGCCGTGGCAAGCTCCTTTCGTCTGAACGCTACCATAGGAACCACATTTTAATATATTCCCGTGCACTTGAACATTATGCATTTGCAGCTAAGTGCCAGTGGTGCCATTGTAAACAGAGGCAAAACAAATCACATGTATTCTACAGCCAATGAATCTAGTTCCACAATTGCATGCATATTTTCTACGCGACATACAGAAATTACTCCTCTATTTTCTACATGCAGCTCTTTTAGACAGAACGTGGCACGCACTGGGAAGATTTTTCTATTTATTTCACTTCATACGATCAAATTCCTTTGCGTCCTTGGACGCTTTAGAAAGTTGCACCTTTTACGTCTACCTCAAATGCTAAGTGGCGCCTCCGTCTAAATGCAACGCTCATTGTGGTACGAGACACGGGCCAATTCAGACTACTTTGCACTAGAATACATGGGCAGAGGCTCCACCCCATGTTGCCAAGAAAAGTTAATTGTCCGCGACCACGAGTATATAAAGCCCATTCAAACACTCTTTGGGTAGCTGCTACAAGCACACATGCAGGGTACCCACTACGCCATAAATCATCACAATTTTGGTGTTGTAGGGAGACGTTCTCTGTGCCATATCCTTCGCTATTCTTCAGAGAAGCGTGGTACCCGCTGCACACTTGCAAGGAATTCTGCGAAACTTTTTACGCTGTGGTTGACGACAATTAAGAATCTTGCCCGAGGCTTTTGTAATGGTTTGAAGCATTCCAACGACCACTCGTTACGAAATTCACATTGTGTGACTCATGGTTGCTCTTTTGCCGTTTTAAAACGCTTTATTACTCATATTAACCCAATTCCTTTCTCGACATGAAGCCTGCCTAAAGCCAGTTTGCAACGAAAGTTCAAGCATGTGGCGTGGCTATCAGTCACAGATACTTTTACCACCATTCGGTGGTTCACAAGTCCAGCAAAGTAGTACCAAGGCGTATACTCCTTCAATACTACGAAAGCACTGATGAATATTGGAATGGCCAAGTACCAGAAATGCGAGAAAGAACATCGCGCGGGAACGCCACTTTTCTCCCACTGTTTGCAAGGGTTGCTGCTGTATATATACGCGTAGTGGATATGTCTCGCTGATTCGCAAAAGAAGTATGGTGTAGTAGGCACTTCGCAACTGTATACTTGCAGTAGGCATTCTAGAATAATTCGAAATGGCCAATATAACGCGCGCAAATGTTCATTTGCTTGCGACACGGCTGAAGCAATCGCCGCGGGAACCGAAGCCATGACGGTGCACGAGGCCCGATTGCCATGCCACATTCTGTTCTTGAATGCGATCGAAACTCAAGCATCCTCTGAGTTTTTGCTCCAGTGAAACTTTCACAATGTAAGGAACTTGCAACTTGAACATCGAGAAAATCACCCAGCAGCCAGTTGAAATGAAAAGTAAGCATGTTTTCACAACGCGAGCACTATCCTCACAGTGTTCCACGGTATTGTCACTGCAACCGTTTCTGGTGCAACTGAACACTGATCGATAAAGCCTACAGGTGCCTGAAAAAAAGTGTTTCATCAGGAGATTCGCAACATCTGCTCTTTAAGTCGACCCCTCAATCAGCATGAACACGATTTGCAGCTTTCTATTCAGGTCAAATGTAGTCTGCATGTTTCATATGCAGCTGTTAAAGGGGACCTGATCATTTTCATGCCGCCAAACGAGAGGAAGGAATGCACGTGTACTGCGATGAAAGGCGTACCGCAGGGATCTGTTTTGGGCCTTTGTTATTTATATTACAACTAAAGCTGTTATGAGTTTACACCATGGGTCACGCGCAGCGCCGTAGTTGTCCGCCGTCGGCGCCGCTGTCCGTAACCACGATCGCAAAAAACAAAAACAAAGAACAACGGAAATATGATACACCAAGAACATGTGATGGCGTAATGAGATTCATATATGAAAAAAATGTGGACACACAATGAAGGAAAGGGACCAGGAAACAGAAATATCACAAGACATGTGAATCTGTGGAAATAACTACGAGATTAGACGCCAACTCAGAAAAACAGAAACGGAGCGCTGGATGGAAGCAATGAAGAAGAAAAAAAAAAGATCAACATAAATTTGAAAGAGTGAAATAAAAAGAGAAATGTTTTATGACAATTAAAGAAGTTCTCCGCACTTTGATACCATATCAGGATGCCTGATATAGCTAGTAAAAGACGTCTTCTAATGAAGACGAATTGTGTTTAAATTAATACGTGAGAAGGGACCAGAGTGCATGCAGCATACTATAGTTGATGTGTCAGCTTAGAATAACAGAACTGAGCTGAACTATAAATGCACGAATTCATTTTAAAAGAAAGAGAGCACGCAAACACAGACACAGGAAGGAGGCCGAAGAAGCATGCACCGAACGGCAGAAAAGAAAGAATTAAGGCACAATTGCATGCCTATGTACTCTGGCACACGTGAGGGTCTATACGTGAAATATATCACTGTTTAGTGCATTTCATTTGGTCTTTATGCAAGTTACCCGACGGTTGGCTGACGCATGCGTTACCGCTAATATTGATATGTCATGCCTTAATAATCAGACACGCGTTTCTTCATCCGGCATGCGCAGATAAGTTTTCGTGCATTATTTCTTTTGAGCCGTTGTGTGATTCCTCGATTGTTACAGTAGGCGTACGTTTCTGGTGTCTTGACCTCCTCTGGTGTGTGTTGATTGATTGATGGGGTTTAACGTCCCAAAACCACCATACGAATATGAGAGACACCGTAGTGGAGGGATCCGGAAATTTTGACCACCTGGGGTTCTTTAACGTACACCCAAACCTGAGCACACGGGCCTACAACATTTCCGCCTCCATCGGAAATGCAGCCGCCGCTGCCGGGATTTGATTCCGCGACCTGCGGGTCAGCGGCCAAGTACCTTAGCCACTAGAACACCGAGGCGGGGCCCTCTGGTGTGTGTGTTTGCACGGCCTGTTTCTTTTAGACTGATTGATATGTGAGGTTTAACGTCCCGAAACCACCGTATGACAATAAGAGACGCCTTAGTGGAGGGCTGAGCCCACGGGCCTACAGCATTTTCGCCTCCATCGAAAATGCAGTCACCGCAGCCGCGATTCGATCCCGTGACCTGCGGGTCAGCAGCCGGGTAGCCACTAGACCACCGCGGCGGGGTTTTCTTTTAGAACAAACAAATAGTCAAGGAAGGAGTAAGTCTGCTTGTGATATGTTGGGATTCAAGGGTAGGTTTGGGAACATAAATGAATCTACCATAGAGACAATTGTCCGAGATGGCTGGACGATTGGTGGTGTAAAACTATGAAGAAATAGTTAGAATTGAAAATTCATAAGAAGCATAAGCAGCAGAGACCAATAAAGATCGTAACGGACTATAGGCGGCATTTGCCGCCACATATCGATTATAAAAGGCTCCTAACAACCCACCCTATACCAGACTCGTTCTCGAAGCTTGTTGGTTGGTTCGATCGGATTCTATCGACGGAAAGGGAAATTTGTCTTCCAATTTAATTCATTACTCTACAGTGTCACCAAATAATTAATCAATTACTTTAATTGAATATATAACCTATGCTTTCCTTTGGTTGTCTTTCATATGGTGTTCTGAATTCTGTCGCCAATCAAGAAACGTACCCCTCGGACAGAAAAATTGCCCCTCCTCTTTCGTACAGTTCAAGCAGCATATCCGTCGGTTGTAGGCCCGTGTGCTCAGACTTGGGTGCATGTTAAAGAATCTCAGACGGTAGAAATTTCCGGAGCTCTCCAGTACGGCGTCTCTCATAATCATATGGTGGTTTGGGGACGTTAAACCTCACCTATCAACCAATAAGCAGCATCCATGCGTATCATGCGTACGCGTGCGCTTATTTATGAGAAACCAGTGTGCGAAACCGAAACCGTATGACCCGATAGGCAGTGCAGCGTTGGCCAAGCCACAAGTTTTTACAGCAGTCAATGGGCGCTCAAACTTCCGCTTGGCTGCTTATCCAAGCTTTCATAGCGCTTATTTTTTATTGATCAACTGCTAAATAGTATTGTCTACCACAAAATAACAAAGCTTGATTTAGCGCCCTCCCGTGAATGGTACTGAAAGCCATGGTCACGTGACATACGCTGGTGTTTCTTTTTGCGTTTCTTGTTACTGCACTGATGGCGGATCAGTCGAGAAATTCGAAGGACGACGAATTGGAATGGATAGAGATCGAAAGGTCATTTCGGCGAGAAGATTCCGCTCAGAGGGGAGACCGGTCCCAACGAGTTAAGGATAAACTAGCGGCGAACCCATTCGTGCCACTGGGTAAGACGGGTGCTCTCAGACATCGCTAAACGAACTCGTGTGGCAAATGTGCTCTTCGCAGGTCTTTTGGCCACGGTGACGGCGTTGGGTTTCGGTCTAAAGACGATGCTCATGGGCCAGTCAAGGCAGTCGCAGATGATGATGCGTGCTCGAGTCGTCTGTCAAGGACTGACGTTCGCGGCCATAATCGTGGGCATCGTGGCGGGAACACGAAAGGCTGAACAGAAACCTCAGTGACTGAACCGTTGCTCTTCGAACAGCAGCTTTATAATGGTAACCGCCTTCCTTGCTGTTTACGTTCGCTGTACACCGCCGCCTCTACATGCGTCAGCGCTGTGTTGGCTGAGTGGTTCGTTGGAGGCAAACTGCCCGAGTCCCATTTGCTTATATTTAGGTGAATAAAGAATCCCAGCGGGTCGAAAGTATCCGGAGCCTTTCACCACGGCGTTCTCATTGCTTGAGGTGCTTTGGGACTTTCAAGATTTTTCAAGATTATTTTTATTCATTCCAAAAAAGTGGTATATAGCAGCATAATGTATAGAAGATAAGTCCCTAAGCTCTAGGCGGCAAGGGGCCTCCTCTATTAATTAGAAAAAGAAAACATCATTTAATAGCATCTTGCTGACAGGGAACAAGTTTGGAAGAAGCAGTAACACTTGACAGCCAATGAAATAAAACATGGTATCAAAATACTATGCATTAGATGTGAGGATTTCAACTAACAAGACATTTAGGTAGATGCAAATGAAAATACAGCAATTGATTCCAAATACTAACATGTAGTAATGTAAAGAAAAGTAAAACTCATAAATGGGGTGCTGATTTCAATGAAAAATTTCATGTGCTTATTATTACTGATGAAGCAAAAAAGGCCAAGTAATACATCACTAAATGGCAAATTTTTCATACACATAAAAACGAGTTAACTGTGTTATAAGATTAAACAAGCATCAATGACAGCAAGACATAACCAATAGAACAGCATATATGATTAGTTACAAGTACGAAAATAATTGCTTTTAAAACTGCCTATATTACTACACAGCTTAACATCACTTGGAATACTGTTCCAGAAGTATATTGCTGTAAACCCAGAGGTGAATAAACCATAATTAGTAGTATGTTAATAATAATTATCTAGTTAACATAACTAATTGTAAGGTAATGGGAAGTTATTGCTGCAAATCGGATTTTATTTTGATTAGTGAGCTGTCACTTCTCGGAAACTATTGAGCAAAAGTTTGAGTGTAGGAAATGATAGGTAAGAATTGCCATGTTAAAATTAAAAAGTTAGTGAATGGTTAGAATTCGATGCTCTTGTAAAAGAGCAGAGGCACTGCGTCATAGTGGCTGAAACGTATTAATGTGGATGGCCTGGTTTTGAACATAATATACAAGAGCTAAATGAGTGCTCCAAGGATGTGATGCAGTAGGTGAAGTAACTGTGAAGGAAGGCATAATACAGAGAAAGCAAGGTATTTATAATGAGGTATGTGCATGCTTCCATCAGGTTCCCGATGCCATAGGCAGATATTTGCTGGATGTGTGAGAAATGGAAAATGTACTTTAAGTTTGAAACAATGATGACTCCCAAAAAGCGACAATGATTACATGCCTGATGAGGTAATTATCGACTGTTAATGAGAGAAGTTCGACTATCCTCTATTGAGTAGAGGGAAATAGCATAAAAAATGTTTTGCTGAGGTTAGCTCGAGGAGTACTTTGGTTTGGACTAGCTGGTTCATAGTACTCATTTTGATAGAGCAGCGCAAAGACACTGGGAAAGAAAGAAAGACAAAGAGCGCTGAACTAACAACTGATCATTTATTGCTGTCACCTGTGCGCAAAAAAAAAAACAATTGTGAAGAGGTTAAAAGCTAGATAACAAGGCTGGTTTTAACCAGTGAAACAAAATAAGAAACTGAAAACGATAAAAACCATTTAAAGGGGTGATGCCATCATGTTTCGAGGCTAAAACAAGCCTCTTGTGGGTTTCCTTTGCAGTCTAGGAGGCAGTCCACATGAACGGTCGGACACAGCAAACGTTTAGAATATTTTTTTAATTCACATCCAAAGTGCTCCTAAATACTCATTCCCCTGGCCGAAGCCTATCGCAAGCACGTACAGAGTTGTCGTAGCTCTCTAAGAAGGCCAATGAAAATTGCAGTCATGTCGCATCAGATCTGTAGTGAGCGTAGGCGCGAGCAGGTTTGCCCTCCAGGGGGAACAAAGGTTCATCGCTGGCATTGTGCCTCCTCCCTAAACCCCATTCCTATTATGTCAATTTGTGGGGCTGCGTTTGCACAACCCTCTTCATAGGTGACTATGGGAATGGCCTTCCTCATACCCCCGTCTCGTACGCACGCCTATTGTAGTGAGGGGAGTGACCTCGGGAGACCTCCACCACGTACATACCTGCAAAGCATCACAGCTGCTACACATTTGTTTTGCAGGTGCTTTTGCGGCACGTATGTGCGAGAAAACCAGCGAGAGCAGACGATAATCCGCTCGATGTGTGTCACAGCCTTGTGTGGCCACGTGGCCAAGCTACACTGCAACATCACAGCCCAATTCGGTGCCAAGAAACAGAAACTGAAAATTGTTCACATAAAATTTATTTAGTGAGACTAAATGAAACGGTGCGCGTGTCATTTTTCCTGGATCTGTAAGCAACACCTGCAGCAAATAACGCGAAAGCCACAGAAATGGTGGCACCACCTTTTTAAGGAACTCATGCTTGGGTGATGAGTGAGAAACACCTGGCTATGACAAAACAAGAGCACAAATGACAAAGACAATCAAACAAAACCTCTAAGATATATAATTTCAGCGTCAGACAAACATATGGAAGGCCTGCTAACGCATTTGTCACCTGCTTGATGAATGAAGAAAGCCTCGACGATCTCACGCTCTATCTTGTCCCTACCTGTCTTTAAAAACTGCGTGCTACTAAAGTCAGGAAAGCAGCCGCAACGCCTGCAATGGTCAGCCAGAAAACCACTAATATTACGTACATTATAGTCATGCTCCTTTGCCCTTTCATTAAAACACCTGCCAGTTTGGCCAATGTACTTGAGTCCGCAACTTGATGGAATCCTATAAACTACATTGGAAATGCACTCAGTGAATCTGGTCCTGTGTTTGGTTGTGTAGCCAGGCCATTTCCCTCTGTTGATCATGTCACATAACTTCGAGAGTTTGTGCAAGGCATAAACAGTATAACTTGAATGTCATGCTTTGATGCAATTCTCTTCAAGTTATGCCAAATTTAGTGAACGTATGGGATAACGTGCACATGCTTAATCTTTTTTGTGCCAAGTTTTGCTTTTGTTTGATCGTGTTTAATGTTTTGTAATAGGGTCTTACAAACAGTAGAAATTCAAGTGGATATCCCGCCTGCTTCAGTCTGATAACCTGTGCATTGAAGCTAGACGAAATAACATGTACACACGACTTATTCAATGCTGAGTGCTGACAGTTCATTGCGATGCTTCGCTTAACAAGCTTAGAATGCGTGATCTCAAGAGGTAACGAAAGTTTCTTAGATCTAGCATTGTACTTTCAACAGATATGGTTATCCGCAAAACGCAAGCAAATGTCGAGAAATTGCAATGTTTGCTTCATATGTAGAGTTCAGGCCTTGACTTTCATTCTGAAAAACATGAAAAACGTCATCAATGACCATGTCAAGGTCCGCAACATCATTCAATATTACTAGAAAATCTCCATCATATCTAAATACCTTGACAATTTGCGGCAATTGCAGTTTATTTTTAATACAGCAGCCAACAATCGACAGGAAAAGATCAAACAAAACTGGAGGCACCGCTGAATAAATGCATATGCTCTTTCTTTGAACACAAAGCTTATCATCATAAATAACAACTGTATATGTCATATAAAATTCCAAGAGTATGACAGAATCATCAGCAGAAACACCTGCCTCACCTGAGAACTGCAGTTCACCATATTCCTGAACCCTGTCTCAAAAAGCCTGGATCAGACCTTTGTGTGGCACAGAATAATGAAGTTCTTCAATGTCAACAGAGAAGCCATTAAAAGAACCAGAATTCAAACCATGTAAATGCAACAGAAAGTTCTCAGACTTGCGGATGACGAAGGGATGATCCTTCACTAATACTTGAAGGTGCCTTTGCAAGTACCAGCTGACATGGCGTTGCCAGTTGGCGTCTTCGAAACAATGGCGTCCTAGCCTGGTGTTTCTCACTCATCACTCATGCGTGAGTTCCTTAACTGGTTTTTATCATTTTGAGTTTCTTATTTTCTTTCACTAGTAAAACCAGCTTTGTTATCTTGCTTTTAACCTCTTCTCAATCGTGTTTTTTTTTGGGGGGGGGGGGGGCTCATATATATGCACAGTTGACGGCAATGAAAGATCAGTTGTTAGTTCAGGGCTCTTTGTCTCTGTTGTCTTTCTTTTTCCGTGTCTTTGTGCTGCCCTTTTAAAATCTTTACTGGGGTTAATTTCTCATGAATTTTGATAACAGTAGCAAACTATATTTTTGAGATCACTATTTAGCTTAGAAGTAAGAGTATGAAGAGGTAGGTACAAGCAGTTAGAATAGTATGATCGTCTGCATACAGGTGAAGTAGACAGACAGATGGGACGTAAAATCATTAATGTAAATAGGGAAAAGTAATAAGCCTAATATTGATCCACTAGGAACTCTCATTTCAAATAATTTGAATTTAGAATGAGGATTAGAAATAATAATAGCCTGTTTTCTGTTAGTTATGTAACTGCAAATGAAAGGCAATGCAGTTCATACTGCTCCAATCACATTTAGTTTAGTAATTGAGATGTTATGAAGAATTAGGTCAAATGTTATAGTGAGATCTATAAATACTGCTCCAGCATAGTTACCTGCATCAATGTAATCTTTAAGTTTATCAGGGAATGAAAGAAGCACAAGATTTGTGGAGTAGCCTGCATAAAAGCCAAACTGTAGGGCACAAAAAATGCTAAATATTGTCAAGTACTTTGTTAAACATTTTTCAAAGCACTGCTCCATAACCTTGCTGAGCATGGACAATATAGCGATATAGCACTGTACACCGTTGTCAGCACTGAATGCTGACAACGGTGTACAGTGCCTCAGTAAATTCTGCGACTTACCAGCATTGCCGGGCACCATCTCGGACAGTGAGCTACTTCATCGGTGCACATGATAACGTAGCTGTTTCTGACTGCATCAATGTTGGGATCACGGCTGCCGTGGCCGGTGCCGCGGATGTGTATGCTTTTGCTGCCACTGCTAACCAACCTTTTGCTGCGCTTTAAAGCTTGTGTCGACTTTCTGCGTCAATCAACACTGTCGTGGCCGAAGGAGCTGAATTCGCTTAGTTGAAAAGCTTCAGTGATATTGATGATGACTGGAACTTGACGGTGCGCAAGAAGCAAGACAAGTTGATGAACTA